TCCTTTTTCCTCCTTCCTTTCTTCCTTCCCTTTTGCTATTCTCTCTTTTAGCCAATACTAATGAGTTCCTTCTGATTCTCTTTCCCTCTTACTCTTGAGTATCCTCACTCATTAAGTGATATGGACCAGGTGCGGAATTCGGAAGGGGAATTTCTTTCTTATCTTTTATTACTGTTCTTGGATAGTTATGTAGCTTCTCTTTTGATGCCCAATCCCGAACAGTTTCTTATGCCGATATTTTGTTACTTGACTGAAGAATCTGAGATTCACATCTTCTTAAACTGTTAAATCTATGTTGTCTTCTATGATGTTAATATGTTTTATATATATATAATTGCCACTCTCCTTTTGGACTTTCTACTGTTCATTGTTAACACTGGTGGTTGTGTATTTTGCTTGTTTGTTATTTAAACTCAAAAGTTGTTTCATTAAATAAAGAAAAAGAAACAGTCATTAAATGAAACAAACAGCTGTGTAGGAGGCTTAAAACTTGGTAACAGCCAAACTCTGTTACTAAGGGGAGGTTGTGGAAGACAGTTTCATGTCACAGGTCATACACCATGGCAAGACTGAGCACAGAAACAAGGTAGTTATACTGCATCAGCAAGGTATCTCACAGGCAAAACATTTAAAAGTAGACTGGGGTTTTAAGATGTGCTGTTCAACCTCTTTTGAAGAAGCACAAAGAAACGGGCAACGTTGACCGTAGACGAAGTGGTCAGCCAAGGAAACTTAATGCAGCAGATGAAAGATGCATCATGCTTACTTCCCCTCGACATTGGAAGATGTCCAGCAGTGCCATCAGCACCGAACTGGCGGAAACCAGTGGGACCTATGTACACCCATCTACTGGCCAGAAAAGTCTAGCCAGAAGTGGTCTTCATATAAAAGAATTGCGGCCAAAAAGCCATACCTCCGACATGGAAACAAGGCTTGGTCAGGATCAATGGTGCTCCCAATGCTGAGAAATACAAGTAGATACTTATCCTTCATGCCATACCATAAGGGTATGATTAAGGCATGTGATTAGCCCTAAATGTATTCTGCAGCAAGCATGCAGCCAATGTCATTAAGAACTAGACATGTGCACTGCCAAAAAACTTGTTTAGTTTCGTTTTAAATTCGGAGTTTGTTCGACCAATCGTTTCATTTTCGTTTCTTATTCGTTTCGTTCATTCGTTCGTTCGTTTGCAGCAAAGTGACATTTGAGGGGGGAAAATGTTTTTCTTCAACGAACGAAACGAATAAGAAACGAAACGAACATTCGAACGAACTACCACTACCGAATTTCAGAAACGGAAATTCGGATTTGTTTGCATTCGTTATATCTGTAATTCTGAATTCGGATACATCCGAATGTCCGAATTTCCGAAAATTCGTCCGAATTTCGATTCGGAACGAAACGAATCGCACATGTCTATTAAGAACTATCTTCTGCGTAAAAAAGAACAAGGAGTGCTGGAAGTGATGGTTTGGCCCCCACAGGCTCTCTCAACATCTCAACATCATCGAGTCTGTCTGAGATTACATGAAGAGACAGAAGGATTTGAGGCAGCCTACATCCACAGAAGATCTGTGCTTAGTTTTCCAAGAGTTTTTGTCCAAGAAGAACCGCACTCAATGCTTCCTCCAAATAAATCCACATTTTATTTCAATCCATGAAACAGCATACACCTTCCAAAACTCTCTCCTTACATGTTTCCCCCACAAGGTTTAATCATGGGAAATATACAAAAATGCATACGGTGAGAGCAAGTCTTTTGCCAGCACCTGGAGGTTCCTCTTTATATGGATCTGACTGCAGAATCTGAGCGGTGAATGATGGATTAGTTTTCCAAGATGTTTGGAACAACCTACCGCCTGAGTTCCTTCAAAAATTGTGTGCAAGTGTACCTGGAAGAATTGATGCTGTTTTAAAGGCAAAAGGTGGTCACGCCAAATATTGATTTAATTTGAATTTCTCCTCTGTTCATTTACTTTCCTTGATAATTGATAAAAATAAACTATTAGCACCTTTATTTCTGAAAGTATTCTTACTTTACAGCATTTTTTTTCACACCTGCCTAAAACTTTTGCACGGTACTGTATATACAATATATATATATTAGGGCTGGTAATGATTAAACATTTCCTGTTCGATTAATCAAAATTTTTTTTAATCGATTAATTATAACGCACATACACATCCAACTACATTGGCCTATACACATACAGCACAGCAATAAAGTAATAAAATGAACTAGGATCACACTAATCCAGCACGTTATTAATCTCACGTGCCCCACTCAATATGGCCGCCGCTTGAGTGGGGCAACTCAGAATAATAACGTGCTGGATTAGTGTGATCCTAGTTTATTTTATTACTTCATTGCTGTGCTGTATGTGTATAGGCCAATGCCAGGGATCCCAACCTGAAATAAGCAATTTCAGGGAGGTGTCCCTCTCATTTCAGGGAGGTGCCCTCCCCCCCATCCATGGAGGAGGGGTTAGGGGGGGCTGGGAGAGAGCACCCCCCTGAAATGATGGCAGATAGCACAGGAAGCAAATGCTTCTTTGCTATTTGCAGACTTTTTTATTTTTTTTGCAGTTGTCAGAATAAAAAAAAAAAAGGCATAGGAATGCATAGCTAGATTCCTATTGGCTATTTCACTTTGCAATAGCCTATAGCAAACTAGCTATTGCACCCGCCCCCTGCTGCTTTCAATCACCAGAAGAGGACCTGATAGAAAAATTAAGGTCCCCCTCTGCTGATTGACAGCAGCAGTGGGCGGGTGCATTAGCTAGTTTTCTATTGGCTATTGCAAAGTGCAATAGCCAATGGTAATCTAGCTATGCAATCGTATGCCTTTTTTTCTTCTTTTCTGACTGACGGTCAGGCCGCGGCTCCCGATGTCAGAAAAGAAAAAAAAAAAAAACGATCCCAGGGAAAGGTTTAATCTGCTCGATTGAGTATAGTATATTCATCGGTCAGTATGTACGCAGTGCAGAGGCCAGCGGGGGAATGTAGAGGTCAGCGGTCAGTATGTATGCAGTGCAGAGGCTAGCGGTGTAATGTAGAGGTCAGCATGTATGCAGTGCAGAGGTCAGTGGTGTAATGCAGAGGTCAGAGTTCAGTATGTAATGCAGCGCAGAGGTCAGCGGGGGAATGTAGAGGTCAGCGGTCAGTATGTATGCAGTGCAGAGGCCAGCGGTGTAATATAGAGGTCAGTATGTACGCAGTGCAGAGGGCAGCGGTGTAATGTAGAGGTTAGAAAGTACGCAGTGCAGAGGTCAGCAGTGTAATGTAGGGGTCAGCGGTCAGTATGTACGCAGTGCAGAGGTCAGCAGCGGAATGTAGAAGTCAGCGGTCAGTATGCATGCAGTGCAGAGGTGAGCGAGGGAATGTAGAGGTCAGCGGTCAGTATGCATGCAGTGAAGAGGCCAGCATGGAATGTAGAGGTCAGCATGTACGCAGTGCAGAGGTCACACAAAAAGAACAGGTACTTACAGTTGTACTTTTACTTCCTTCTTCAGGTAATGTGCCCTCTTCTCTTCCTCTCCTGGTGGTGGGGGGAGGAGGGGAGCAGTGAAGTTGCCTGCATGTCCTGAGGCGATGCCTTCAGCTGCCTCATGGTGTCTCCTGCTCACTCTGACTTTTAGTCCCACGCAGCATAACTATGCTGCCGGCCAATCGTGTGCAGTCTCCCTCCCAGCCTATAGCAGCTGAAAGGGGAGGGAGCTGCCGTCCGTGGCCGCCAGGGGGGCCCGATCGTTACACGGGCATCAAAAAAAGAATTCTTCTCCTGTAAAAACTGTCCCAGCAGGCGCCACTGCAGGGGCAGGCACTTCTTTTATCTCTCCACTTACGGCCTCTGCAGCAGAACGGCCGAGAGGGGAGAGATAAAAAAGAGTGATTACCGCTGCGGTGGCGCCGGCGGGGGGCGTTTTTAAAGGCATTAGAGAGGCCCGGGGGCAATTGCCACCCGGCTCAGTCCGCCCCTGCATATACACCCACAGAATTCAAGGCGGGGGTGGCCCTTCCCGTACTGCACGAGAGAAATTTGGAGAGTGTATGGCCAGCTTTAATTGAGAACTTAGCATGGCCATACTGTTGGCTTTAATTGTCTAGGTTTCAAAGTTTGCCTATTAGAAGGTAGAGACTGCAGCCATTTTGTGAGTGAACCAATGTGTACTAGCAAACAACCATAGTAATGACCATAATCGGTTAAAGAGTAACTCCGTTCAATTTGAGTGGGGAGATTAATGTAACTAATGTGCAAAAATTTGTTTTCAATTTAAAGTTCCCGCTCAGCTCCAGAGCTTTTTAAGGATTCCTTGGCTTGGCCTGCACCTTTCTCTTTTGTATTTCCTCCAATCCAAAACGACATTTCAAATGAAATAAAAACAAAGTGTTTATGTTGCATCTATTAAAACCTTCAAAATGTAAACTGTATTGCACTTAAACCATATAAAACTGGACACTGCATTTTTAATGTTTTAATAGAAAAATTATAACATAACATTGTATGTACATGACGGCATGAGAAGGACGTCCTGTATGGAACTAGCTGTTCTTTTGCAGTAAAGATATTTAAAATTCTATTAAAAACTGCTGCTTTGTTCACTCTGATTTACATGTTACATGATCCTCAACCCACCGCACCATTCTGTTGCAGTAGGGTTGCCCTTAGCAGTGAATTTATAAGCTGAGCATGGCTCCAATGCACAAAATGGTAGCTACAACAGGAATGTCAAAAGGCACAAAATAAATGTATCCAACTAAACTACAACATCATAAAACTACAATAGGTTTTGCTTCTTTTCATATACAGGGTTCACTTGACAGTAAAGGTCATCAGTTCAGGTATCAAAATTAAATCTGGTAATTTACATAGGACTGGAATGATTAGGACAGACAGGGCAGTTACTAGGAAAACGTGTTTTACAAAGTGCAATTTTTCACTATTAGGCCAACAAAGCTTTCAATCCAGTGCAGCACCGAATCCGTGGAGTGTTATTGTCCTATTATTGACAGTAAACAGGAAGTATCCCAGAGCATGACCTAGAAAAAGAAAACACCATTAATCTTGAAGGAAATAATTCCCTCTCTTTTATTGCATGTTATCTAACACATACATTTCAAAGCTACTGCATCAAAAATATTCTGGCTTCTATGGAAATGACATTAGGCGAGGTGCAGTGTTGTGCAAAAATGCAGCATATCTTCATTTTTACCCAAAGCACTGCAATCCAGCTCCATGCAGCATTGTGGTGTGAACAGGGCACATAGAAAACATTTGTTTTTTACGTGCCCTATCGTTGTGCCTGTGTTGATTTGCGCAGATTAACGTAGGTCAAAGTATATGTGGTGAACAAGTCCTGAAATAAAACCTGTGTTATATTTAAAGTGATCAGTGGCGGAACTACCAACATGCGGCCGCTATGGGACCTGGGGAGGAGGGGGTTGGATGTCAGTCAGGAGCAGGGCTGAGGTACTCCTCTTCAACCCCCCCTCCAAACATCAAGCCCGGCAAGCAGAAGTTAGCTTCTTTTCTCTCTATATACAAGTACTTATATATTTATATTTTATATATGTTCATAAATAAGCACAGTATATATTTTTAATTTATTTTTTAGTTTTCATTATAAACATGACCCATGCATGCTCATTAGCATTCACCAGCAGCGTTGGTCCATGAGATTTATGGACATTATGCCTTAGTGCGCTTGCATGGATGGTCGAGCCCTCGAGCCCTGCAGCCGCAGATATGCTGAATTGGTCTGTGACAATCACCGGCCTGTTGACGCAGTGCACTTGTGCGCAGGGACAAGCCCTTCACACGCCCCCGGACACCCTCCCGATAGTCCGATGAAGTTCCAAGTCCGGCTGGGCCCCGCCTCCTCCTCCACCACCGCCGTCGATCCCAGGCCTCCTCCACCGCAGCTGCTGGATGTCACTGACTCAGCAGCGGGTATGAGGAGGAACGCGCTGCTGCCCATATCTTGACAGTGGCGTGTTCCTCCTCACAGTCCAGCTACAGTCCTGCAGTCTGCGATGCCATAGCCTGCAGGGCTTTAGGGGGACCTCTTTGTTCCTGGTCCTGGCGGGGTCCCCCTGTGCCCTATAGCCTGGGTCGCTATGGCGATAGTTCCGCCACTGGCCTCCAGCATGAACACTGTAACATGGATGGTGGATGAAAATACTTATGTCAGGAATACTGGGAAAAGTGTTGATATTTATTTTAAAACAAACATTTTTATATTTTTAATTTCTAATTACTAATTAGTTCTTCCATAAGATATGCCGAAGTGTTTGTGTTGACCATAACAATCAATCTTGCACTAAAACACTGACACCTGGAATCTGCTATATCAGCATCAATACAAATTCTGTTCTAGAAGAATATAAGGGGTTATTCTTGGAAGCACAGAGAATTGGTCTTCCAGACACTTAAAAAACCTAATACCTTGAACGTCCAAAAGTACAATTTATTTGAAAAACACACTAATATTGAACTGACTTACATAGTGAAGTTTAAGAAAGACACTGGGGGGAATTTATCAAATCTGGAGCAATTGCCCATGGCAACCAATTAGCATCTCTTCAGTTTGCTCAGGTAAGAGTGCCCACACACCTTACGATAATCATACGATAATCGCGGGAAATCCCGCGATCGTACGATTATCGTAAGGTGTGTGGAAGCCGTGCGATATCTACTACTGTAAGGTCGCACGACTTTTAACTTACGAACATTTTCAAAAACCCGTCGAGCATTGTACAATGTTCGGCGGGTGTGTAGCAGGTTCGTGAGATAAAAGCCGAACGGGCCGGTGTGCGCAAGCGCACACTGCCCGTTCGGCATTGCGGTCATCGTAAGCCCGCCCCTCAGGTACGATCTGCAAGTACGGCAAGTACGATCTGCCTGTCCAAGATAGGCAGATCGTTTTTTTAATTACCTTACAACCATCGCAAGACAAAAGTCTTGCGATGGTTGTATGGTGTGTGCCCAGCATAAGACTTGAAAAAGAGAGATATGCTGATTGGCTGCAGTGCAAATCTGCTCCAGGTTTGATAGATTCCATCCCCCCCCCCACTATATCTAGTTCAACTAAGGTAATTGTATGCCTCTATAGACTTTCGAAATATCAATTTTGCCTCCTGGAAGGTATTCAGAATATGCTAAGGCTGAACATGTAATGTTTTATAATTTAATATAGGGAAAACTGTTTTTTCTGTAACCTTTCCTTACTATAGTAAAAAATAAAAACCTCAGTGGTGATTAAATACCACCAAAAGAAAGCGATATCTGTCCCCAAAAAAATGGTATACAATTCATTTTAGTACAGCGTTGCATGACGGAATAAATGTCAGTCAAAGTACTGCATCGCTAAATACTGAAAAATGGCCAGGAGAGGAAGGGGGTTTAACACCCGGGACTTCAAATGGTTAAGTGTTTTTTTCATTGACACATGTTCCCCAGGGCAGTACCCGAGTCCACATACCCTTTTTATGGCCAATAACTTGCATATAAGGCTTCTAAATGGGGACATTTGATTTTCAGAGTTCTGGTTCCATAGACTTTCATTGAGTTCGAAGTTCGAGTTCAAACTTTTTCAATGTTCTAAAGTTCAAACTTGAACCGAACTCGGGTGTGTTCAGCCCATCACTAATGATGACCATTGATATATAAAGAGTTATGCCCCATGGAGCAAGATTGGTTAAAAGTGAATATCCTTGTAAGGATTGATTGGCATTGCTTACCTCCACCAGGTACTGTATATTGCCATCAGTCACACATAAGGCCTGGTTCACACCTACGAGTTTTTGAGCAGTTTGAAAAGTGCTTTTAAATGCCCAACACAAGAAATCCCATGATTTTCAATGGCCCTGGTTCACATCTGAGCAGAAAAATGCCAAACACCGGAAAAGATACAGGAGCTTCTTTGGGCAGTTAAAAGTGTTTTTTTGCCCCATAGACTTCATTGGAAATGCCCACAAAAGTGCGACAGAAGCATGTCGAACATTTTCGTGAGTGTTTTTGCTCGTTTATACGTGCGTTCTTCCGTTGCCCACAATGTTTTATGAGCTGCCAATCAAAACGCGTGTCTTCAGGTACGCATACAAATGTGCACAATGCGCAAATAACTGCATGCTGTTGACGCACGTGCAAAAACGGTGCCACATAGGTGTGAACCAGGCCTAAGTCTTTATCTCATTATATTTGTAAGTGCAACTTCATTAGCATGTTTTCTGTTTGTGGTTTTTATTGCACTATTTTAAGAGCCCCTGGTTTGTCTTTTATAAAGAGTAAAAGTCCATTTGATGACATAGATTACCTTGATGTGCCTGATGATGTTTTTTCTATGATGCAATTCTAATATTTTTTAGTTAGTGCCAGGGGCATAACTAGAAATCACAGGGCCCCATAGCAAAATTTTGTATGGGACCCCATGATTTCTAGTTATACCCCTTGCAGAGCCCACTCGAGATCCCACCTGAGGGTGAACTTGCAGAGCCCACCATAGACTCTCTATGGTGGGCCATGGAGGGTCACCTTCAGGTGGGCTGGTCGCACTCCTTACCTGTCCGCCTCCTCTTCCTTCACGGTCGATGAAGGGCCCCGCCTCCTCCTTAGTCACCGGGCCCTGCCTCTTCCCCTGCTGCTGACCACGAGCCCCGCCTCCTCCTCCACTGCTGGCTCTCATTGACTCTGTGGAGAGGAACGCGCTGCTGAACAGATTAGTGATCACTAATCAGTGATCTGAACAGTGATCTGTGATCTGAACAGCGGTGTGTTCGTCTTCAGCCGACAGTGAAAGCCACCAGCAGAGGATCCCATAGCGACCCAGTCATCTGACCGGGCCCCACTGTGCCCAGGCCCTATAGCGGCCGCCTGGGTCACTATGGTGTTTGTTACGCCACTGGTTAGTGCATATTTTTTTTTTTTACCATATTCAATTTCCTTAATGAGGCTGCCTATCATATTAAGGACTAGCAGAGTGGATCTGGGGGCAGTAGAGCAAAACTTGACTGTTACATATTTTCAGCTGCCTATTTCCCTGGATTCACTCTGTGTTTTGACATGTCCTTTTCACTGAAGAAAAGTCTCTATTTTTATTACTTTTTCCATTTGAATTTCTCAATTTTGCAACACTTTTATAGGTATAGAGGCTTTTAAAATGTATGCTTTCCTGTATGTATAAACAATGGTAAACTGGACAATCAAGGCCTCCTAAACATTTCCAGCCTTTTCTTTCAGAAGTGGAAGTATAGATGAAAGTGGTACTTTTCTTAATGTGTAGTATTTATATGTACTGCTTACCTTACTTAAAGACTGGAGGTGGTTTAGTGGTTTTTACCATGCCACTTTCTTGAAGGGCATCAACTATCCATGAAAGCGCCTTACCACAGTATTCAATCTGCACGAAAAAAAAATAGTTCTGATAATTTTTCATGCCATTGCTTGTCACAGGGCTTTCTAAATACAACATTAAAGACAATTTCCAGCCAAAACATTTTTTTATTAGTTCTATGGAAATTTGGGAAGGTTTAGTACCTTAGAATTGCTTTTTTTTTTTGTACACACTGACAAACCCTTTTCTTTGATGTTAATTAAAGGACACAATTCCTTTTTCATGACAAGTGGCCAGCTACTGGAGAACTGACTGAATGCTAAAGTTACAAAAGTAAAAGGGGCCAGCCCGAAGGTGATAATGACCCTCCTTATTAAGCATGGCAGTAGCAATGTAGTCAAAAAATATCATAGCACCAATCAAAAAAAATAAAAATAGGGGAGGCAGCTGTGTCCTACAATGAACACTGGAGAAGATCCTTGAAGCCTAAGAACAAGAGAAATCACATGACTGCCTACAGAACCTTTTGGGCAAAATTTTCATCTGCTGCTACTACATTGTTCACATTGTAAAACTCAGAAAAGCTAAGAGGTAAGAACAGAGGACCAAGTTGTGGCTTTCTATATCTGGAGTCTGACTGCAAAAAGCCCAGGAGGCACTGAATGTCCTTGTGGAGTAAGCAGTGACGTGATCCCAATGTCTTAAGGCACATGCCTAAAAATTGTTTTACCAATACACCAGGATATTGTTGCCTTGGAAACCAGAGAGCTTTTGCGAGGCTCATCCAGGATTACAAAGAAAAATATTATTTTATTAAGTGGGCGGTGGCATTTAAGTAGACCCGAATAGATTAAGTGTTAAGAAATCTTAGGTTAACCAGAGCAAGACAATTGTAAAGAATGGAGTCTTGCAAGATAAAGATATCAGCGCTGAAATCCTTTAAGACAATGAGGAAAGCTATCTTTTATGACAGCAACAAGATGGGAATATCCATGGTAGGCTTAAAAGAGAACTATGAGGTGAGTGTTTTTCACTCACCTCATAGTTCTAGCTGACCTGTGAGAATGAGACTGTCACAGGTCGGCTCAGTAGATAGGGAGTTGAGCGAACAAATACCGGCGTTTGCTCACCTCTCGATCCTGCCACGGCTCTCTGCCGTGACAGGGGAGGGGCTGGATTCCCCCTCCCCGCTCCGATCCGCCAGCGCAGACTGGAGGGGGCGGGTACAGCTGGCTCTGCCTCTAGATAGCAGAGCCAGCTGTCAGTCACGCAGCTGGGCGGATCCAGGCACAATTGTCAGGATCCGCTTCAGCTGTGGCGTCTCAGTATACCGCGACCTGCAGCTCGCGGTATACTGAGCCTAGGGTGACGGGAGGATGCTAGTTTGTGTCCTCCCATTACCCTAAGGAGAACTATGGGGAAAAGCCTTAACCTCATAGTTCTCCTTTAAACAGTCAGTATTTAAATCCAACAGTTTAAAAGGGGTGAAACATTGTTCACAAATTAAATAAAGTTGCAAACTAAGAAATGGTTTGCCAAGTGGCAATAAAAAGAGAACCACAAGACCTAAATCTTGGACAGATCCAACGCCAACATGTCCCCTTGCCACCAACCCCCGTTGGCCATGGGTAGTGTTGTACAGAACTTTCTGAACATTGATCTTTCTCACCAGAAGAGACCAGGAGAGCATGTTTAGCACCATTTTATTTCAACGCATTAGTTACCATTTATTGATATGGAACAACAGAATAGATAAAATAGCTTAGATGTAGGTTAAATAAGCTAAACGTGATTTTAGCTAAAAATCTACATAAAACCATTGCCTCATCTCCAACAATAAATTATTTATTTTGTGCATCCTGTATATATGTACTATATATATATATAACACACGTCCAGCACACTATAGCAATAGATTTACAG